TTGCTCAGTCTCTGTGTTAAGTGCTTGTGTGGGCAGTGAGGGATAATTCTGCAGCTCAGGTGAGAGCAGGTGTATTGTGGAAGGTGGGCAGGCATGAGTGGTCGAGCTCAGATACCCAGAGTCTGGGTGTTTCAGGCTCCTTGACTAAGTTTCTCCTGTCTTTTTGCTCTTGTTAAGAAGAGGGTGTCGCCTGTCTGAGTCCCACTCTATCTGACCTAGAGTGGTTTGAGACTGGTGCTGGGGTGGAGGGGTTGGTCCTCCACAGCCTGGCTGGAGGTTGATAGGAACTGAGGAAGGTCGGAGTCAGAGAAGCAGTTATTTTCTGTCTTCTCACAACAGTAAACGCAATAAAAGGATGGTGAAATTATTCTGAAGTCAGAAACTCCTCCAAGCCTATTTGTGCTGAAATTGTTTTCATAGGGGACCCTCCCAAAGGTGAATGAGGGCCACTCTCCCATGACCTCCTTTCTCCTTCCCTCTCTATTATTGGCTGTTGATTTGTTTCTTTATTGCAAAGTATTATCGACACATTTCTTTGGCTTCTGATCGCTGCCATCAGAATTGTTGTTTGGTTCCTTTTATTTATTTATTTATGTTATTTTTATGTGTATGAGTGTATTGCCTGCATATATGTGAGTGCATCTGTGTCATGCGATGCCGCGGAGGTCAGAAGAGGGCTTCGGATTCCCTTGGAACTGGAGTTAAAGATGGTTTGTAGCCCCCATATAGGTGCCGGGAATCGAGCCCAGGTCCTCTGCAAGAGCAGTAGCTGCTCTTAACCACTGAGCCATCTCTCCAGCCCTGTTTGGTTCCTTCTTTATAAAGGAAAATGTTCACATTTTAGAATTACATCTCTCCACCCCCTCGAAGTCCTTTTCTTCTGATTTTCTTTCTTCTTTCTTGTTTCTGTCTTACTAGCCTTTCCTTTCTCCTTTTCTCACTCTTGACTGAGTTCAGCTGTGTACTCTCTGGGTTGAGTCTACAGCAGGAAGACAAAGGGTAAGGATGAGTGAGGAGTTAAGGCAAGAGAGCAGGAGGGAGACGGCTGATTTACGATGGGGAACCTCCCTCTGTCCCCAGAAGAACTTTGTAGGTACAAGGTGGCTTCTCGTGCATTGCTATTTCTAGTAAGAAAAATGAAATTATTACCTAAGCAACCAAGTAAAAAGTCTGACCTTAGGTGGGAAAGAACATGTGCGATGCTAAAAAAAAAAAAAAAAAAAAAAATTCATGAGCTGTTTTGCATAACAAAACCAGTTATTAGTGACTCAAAAAGTATGTACTAGCATAATGTACACACTAACACTGTTATAGAAGTCTGGGGTGTTCCTTATGAGGCAAAATGGTATCTGGGAACACAGGTTCTAGTCAGGAAAGCAGAAAATATATCATATTGCAATATATAAGAATATATAAATAAAATACAACATAAAATACAGCATCCTTTACGGTTTTGCATGCTATGGGAAACCTAAGGCAGGAAAGTGATCAAAGATGGAAGGATTTCTGTTCTACGTATTCAAGACAGTCTTCACTGATAAGGTGAGGAGGCGGGTGAACAGGCAGAGCTTATCTGGGAAGAGGTATCTGTGAGGAGGTAAGAACAAACACCTTCAAAGACTAGGTGGCTGGGGTCAACCTGCAGTGTGGGAGGCTGGTAAGACTGACCTCAAGGGAATCCCAGGGAGAATAGAAGGAAAGGTCTGGATGGTGATGGAGGGGTCACCGATGAAAGTCTGGAAGTGCTTTGGCTTTTATTATTTTAGAAGTAGGTCCACTCCAATGTTGCATGTCCATAGACTGGGGTGAGCAAGTATAGACTGGGAGACCAGACAAGATAAAGGCTGTTGCTATCATCCGTGGGGGCAATGGTGTGGCTAGGTAGGAGCTTAGGAGTAAGAAGTGTTTAGAACCAGACATTCTTTTTTTTTAAAATATTTTATTTTTATTTTGTGTGTATGAGTGTGTTGCCTGCATGTATGCAAGTGTACCTGTGTCATGCAATGCCCTAGGAGATGAGAAGAAGGCATCAGATTCCCCTGGAACTGGAGTTACGGATGGTTGTTAGCCACCATGTGGGTGCTGGGAATCGAACCCTGGTCCTCTGCAAGAGCAGTCTGTGCTCTTAACTGTGAGCCATCTCTCCAGCCCCTAGAGTAAGAAGTGTTTAGGAATGGATATGAATAGATGAAAAGCCAGTGATTCCTTTTGGTTAGGACATGTGCTCAGAGAAGGAAAGGACTCAAAGGTGACTGAACTGATAGAACGGCTTGGGCAACTGGACTGAGCTACTAATAATTGAGCAGGGAAGGAAGTGAAGACAATGTTCTTGGGAAGACTTACGCTGTGTAGCCACTGTAGGGAAGACTGGCCAATTGAATTCAAGGGAACAATCCAGGCTGGAGAGGGAAATGTGACTGTTAATCTATAGTATGAGAGTTGGGAGTGGGGAAAGGAAGCTGTGGAGTGCGTGTGGATGAGTGCCTCTGTTTTATGTTGGTGGGACTGAGAGTCCTTAGCGCAGAAGAACAACTTCCCCTATAAGAGACAGAAGAGACCTGAGTTGTTTTGTTGGTTGAACCTAAGACCAGTACAGATAAGAAGGTACTTTAAGGCTATGGTAACAGCAATTTGCCACTGTAGAAAACCCCATCATTCCTGAGTGTCTTTGTTTGAAGACTACTTAGGCACATATTTTGGCACAAGTTAGGCACGTTCTGTCATGTAGAGAAACAGGTGATGTAGCTAGCTCCTTGATCATTGTTCTGATATCCTGATTTAGGGAATCACCCTGAGTCTTTTCACAGAGTTTAATAGTCTATGTAATGGCTTCACTTCATCTTTGTAGTGAGATAAGGTGGAGGTGGATACACCAGTACACACGTCTTGAAGATGCAGCCATCATCCATTTGTACAGAATCTCCTTATGTTTTGTACATACCCGAGGCTATTTCCTATATTCTCCTTCATTTTTTTCACCTAGAAATAAACTACGTAACAAGTCATAGCACTCGTGTAGAGAACCAGCTGTCCTGAAACTAAAGGAGGGGCATTTCTGCTTTCGGAAATTGGAACTTTCAGCCATTAATTCACCATGAATTCTTTTGTCCAGGCAACTGTATTTCTTGAAGTCATGCTTTGAACTAGGCAGCCTGCTAGGGGCTGCCATAAGCCGTTGTGAATAAAAGATGATACTTCTATTATAGTGAGATGATACAGACAGTAACACACCAAAAACATAAGCATATATGTGATCAGTTGCTATTAGTGCTGAATATTAAATCAGGGAAGGGCTTTGGAGAGACAAAATATCTAGATTTTTAATAAGGCTTTTCAGCTCTAAAGCAGTCAGCACTTGAGTAAAGATATGAAGACAGAGGAAAGAGCATCTAACAGAGGAAATTTCTAAGATGCAAAGGCCAAAGACACAGGTGTATCCAGTTTGAGGACATTTAAGGAAGCACAATGAACATAAGGAGAGTGGTATGGGCTCTGAGGACCAGTGGAAGTGTGTGTGTGTGTGTGTGTGTGTGTGTGTGTGTATGTGTGTATGCATGTGCATGTGTGTGCAAGCATGTGCATTCATGCATGTGTGTGTGCTGTGTATCCTCACATGTGCACACACATACATGCATGAAAGGTCTTGCTTGCCAGTGCAAGAATGTGAATTTTATTAGTAGTAGTTTGGGAAATCATTGACGCTCTTTAACCAGGAATTTTTAAATCACTGGATGTGTTAGTAGAAGCGTGAGAACTGTTGTGAAAATGAATTATTAGGGTTAATGGCAGCAGCTGAGAAGCCATGAGGAAGGCCGAACTGTGGTAGCTGCTGTAAATAGTAAGAGGTAATTAGATTCCAAGAAGCTTTTAATCTAGAATCAAGAGGTTTTCTGATCATGTGAATCTATGAATGACTGAAAGAAATACCAGAATAAAATGTTTCCAACATTTTGACCTGAGCAAAATAAGACTCAAGAGTGAAGTCAGGCATGTGACTCACGCCTGTAATCCAAACACTTGAGAAGTCGAGGTAGAAAGATTGCCATGAGTTCAAGGCTAGCCTAGACTACAGGGTGCATTCCCAGGCTGTCTTAGGCTTCAGAGTAAGGCTCTATCTTAAAAACAAACAAACAATTGAAAAGTATGGGAACATCCCCAAAGCTTAGTTATTTTTAAAATTTATTTTATTTTATTTGTCTTGCTTTTGATTTTGACAGGGTCTCCCCAGTTTCAGCCCACTTGGAATTAACCATGTAGACCAGGCTGGCCTCGAGCTCACTGAGATCCACCTGCCTCTGCTTCTTGAGTACTGGGATTAAAGGCATGTGCCACCATGCTTGGTGAATTTATCATATTTTTATTTATGTGTGTATGTATGTGTCTATGTGAGTGTAAGCCACATGTGTTTTGATGCCCAAAGAGTCCAGAAGAGGGTTTCAGATCCCCCAGAGCTGAAGTTAGAGGCCATTGTGAGCTACCCAGTGTAAGTGCTGGGAACTGAACTCCAGTCCTTTGCAAGAGCAGCACACACTCTTAACCTCTGAGTCTTCTCCAGGCCTCCTACCCACCCCCATCCAACCCTTTATTATCTACCTTAGTAATATATAAGTTCTTTCTTGTGCAGGAAATAGTTCAAGTAATGTTAAAGTAGTTTCCCAAATCTATAGGATCCCAGCTGTTTGAAGTCAGTGCTACATGGCAGAGCCAAGATTTTGCCTGCTGAATGAAGACTGTCCAATAGCGACACATCAGAATAGCTTATGATATATATATGTATATATATAATTATGTCACATATATATGTGACATAATTATGTGTAATAGCAAAGAGCTCTTTGTGTGTCATGGCATATGAAAGGCCATTTTCCTGTGTGCTGCAAAGTATGTTGTTTAAAACTGATGGATTACAAAAGCTTTATCCAACAGAAGAGACAAAGATGTGTTACTCCATATCTCAGAATCTCTCTGTGCCCATTTTCAGGTGACTTGATTGCTGAGTGATGGGACCATGGTTAAATGCATCATTGATAGATGGATTCATCCTCTTGGGCATCTTCTCCCATAGCCAGACTGACTTTGTTCTCTTCTCTATGGTCATGATAGTCTTCACAGTAGCCCTCTGTGGGAATGTTCTCCTCGTCCTCCTCATCTACACTGACCCTCGACTTCATACCCCCATGTACTTCTTCCTCAGTCAGCTTTCCCTCATGGACCTCATGTTAGTCTGTAACATTGTGCCAAAGATGGCAGTCAACTTCCTGTCTGGCAGGAAGTCCATCTCCTTTGTTGGTTGTGGCATACAAATCGGATTTTTTGTCTCTCTTGTGGGCTCCGAGGGGCTCTTGCTGGGACTCATGGCTTATGATCGCTATGTGGCCATCAGCCACCCACTTCACTATCCAATCCTCATGAGTCAGAAAGTCTGTCTTCAGATTGTTGGGAGCTCCTGGGCCTTTGGGATCCTTGATGGAATGATTCAGATGGTGGCAGCCATGAGCTTGCCCTACTGTGGCTCAAGATACGTGGATCACTTCTTCTGCGAGGTGCCAGCTTTACTGAAACTAGCCTGTGCAGACACATCCCTTTTTGACACCCTACTCTTTGCTTGCTGTGTTTTCATGCTTCTTCTTCCCTTCTCCATCATCGTGGCATCCTATGCTCGCATCCTGGGGGCTGTTCTCCGGATGCGATCTGCTCAAGCCCGAAAAAAGGCTCTAGCCACCTGTTCCTCCCACCTGACAGCTGTCTCTCTATTCTATGGGGCAGCCATGTTCATCTACTTAAGGCCAAGGCGATATCGGGCTCCTAGCCATGACAAAGTGGTCTCTATCTTCTACACGGTCCTTACTCCTATGCTCAACCCCCTCATTTATAGCCTGAGGAACCGGGAGGTGATGGGGGCACTGAGGAAGGGGCTGGGCCGCTGCAAGATTGGCAGCCAGGACTGAAAAGTTATGGTCTAGTGCCTTGGCCTACCTGCTGGTTGTATGGCATTGGTAAGTCACCTACCTTTTGTGAATATCTGTTTCTTCATCAGTAAATGAAAATCTTAACACTGGCCCTCCCTCACAGGGATTTCTAAGGAATCATTCTACATAAATCTAAAGCCTCATCAGGGAGCAAGGCTTCACTGTTATTGATTGCTATGACACCCTGGAATTAAATTTGCTCTATTTCTTAATCTTTTGGTAGTACTTGTCTCTTACTGAGTTATTACTAAGGATTGGAGTTGCCTTATTATGTTGTGTATTATTTGACAGGTTATCAAGCTAAGAAATTTGGTTATCTTAAATGGGTATTTTCTAGATGGTAGAAACCAAGTTTCTATAATTCTTAAATAGTTTTTAACATTTTCTGTGTTCCAGTAGAGTCTTTTGAAAGTATCTTTTAAAAACTTAGGATCCAGGAGATGATTCAATGGGTAAAGGTGTCTGCTGCCATATCTGATGACCTGAGTTTGGTTCCCAGGACCCACACAGTGGAAGGACAGAGCTGCCTCTAGAAGGTTGTCCTCTTGATCTCCACATGGCACACACGTGTCCACACACAAACACAGAAAATAAATAAGTGTAATAGAAAGAATGAGTGAGCACATCTTAAAAAAGAATTTTAAAAACCATTCCTACTGTTCAGACGTTTTCTCTGTAGGGTCATATCTTGTGAATTTGTGTGTTACTATTAGCAGTTGCTCAATAAAACCATATTGAGTGAATGCAAGAGCAAATGAAATAGTATCAGGAGAGATATTTTTATAAGCCTTGTTAACACGTGGCATGCTCCAATTCATTTAAGTCCTGCAAGTTCTGCAGCAATAGAGTTATGTCTGCTTTGGAGGACCAAGATTAAAGCAGAAGTAAAAATGGAATTTGGGTTATCATTTTAAACTAATGTGTCAGTCAGCATCTACTCATGAATTAAACTACATTGGTTCCTTCATTAGACCATTTTTTGATATAAAGAATTGGTAACATGGGGCTGGGGATATAGCTAACTTGTAGGGCACTTCCCTAGTATGAACAAAGCCCTAGGTTCCATTCCTAGCAACAAAAGGACCCAGATGTTTGAGAACTGAGTGGGTGAAACACAAGCAGTACAGATCCTACCTGTAGTAAAAAGCTGGTATTCCTACACCACGAGAAGCCAAGAGAAGTTTCAGGTTTAGTGAAGCCTGGGTTCTCTGCAGCTCACGAATGGGGGGTTGGAGCTGGTATCCATATCTTGTGAGCGTCCCTTTTGCTGTCACCATAACCCCTAAGAAGGCCACCATACCCTGCCTTGCCACACCCAGTCAGAACCCAGAAGGAGAGAGGCTTACAAAGCTAAACCTCAGACTGGGCACTGGGTGGTTGGTTCCCTTTCTTCCTGTATCATGGTCTCCTAATGCCCCCTTTGGAAGTTCCTAATGTGAATATTGGTGGTGTAACAGGTAGAGCATCACAATTCAGCATACAGAAGGATGGACTCAAAGCTTTGGTAGTAGCCCCACCACTGATGTAGTCTACACACACCATTTCACCTGCATTTACATTTCTATCAAACAGTAACAACATTTGCCTGAATATGTGTATTTATTTTTATGTATATGGTATCCTTCAATAGTCAAGGTATCATTGTATAAGCGTAGTTAATTATATCTCATATTCAGTCACAATTTCATCTGGATGCCACTTCCAACAGTCAGTGTATAAAATAGTAAGAAGAAGGAGGAAAGAGAAGAACAAATTTTATACACATGTAAAGAGACACCCCAACATCCCTCCTGATCATACAGCCATAATGTATACTTGTGTAGACACACCTCAACATCCCAACTGATCATGAAACCATAATGGATACATGTATAAAGACACCCCAACATCCCACTTGATCATGCAACCATATATGTTTATCTAAGAGTTGGGATCTTATTATGCTGCTTAAGATGCTCTTGAACTCTTGGGCTCAAGAGTTCCTCCTGCTTCTGCATCCAGAGTAGCTGGGACCACAGGCATCATCACCGGGTTGAGAATCCATGTGGATATTCACTTTTCTTTTCTTCCACTTCTCAATCCCTATTTCTTCTATATTTTTCTAGACCACCAAGCAGTGTGTTCTACACCCCCATCCCCTGAGGTTCTGAATACTCAATGGTTCTGTCTTTGGCTGGTGGCTGCACTATTATCTTTTACTATCAGACATGGAAGTACTGATAGATGTTCTAAAATAGACCTCTTTGTTCCTGTGTTTAGCAGCAACTGTATTTCCCCATCCCACTCTGACAGAACTGGCATCATATTTGACTATTGGTCTACCAGTGGAAGGAATGGAAAACTCCCAACTTTCATCTGATAAGAGCATTGTTGTATGGATAGAATGATTGCCATAAACACAGCTAGCATGTTTTGTGAGACTATCCCATATTTTCAGTCTCGTTTCCAAACTAACACTGTAAATGAATTGTTAAAACTGAGTCCAGCGGCATCCAGGTGATGGAATGTGTACAAGACCGATCAATTCCATGGACATAAGTCCATCGGTGCCTTTTTTCCTTCTATGCCATACGTCCCTTGATAAGAAGCAATGCTGTACAGATCTTGATGCTGTCCAAGGGATCCTGTAAGTACATAAACAATGGTGCTGTCAGAGGCAGTGCAGGGGAGGAAAGCAATCCATCTCTATAGTCAGTATCTGTTCTAGTGAGATCAGGTTGCTTCTCCATCCATAATGGAAGGAATTCAGTACAACCAACTTACCATTAGCTGGTTAACTGATTCCCCCAAGGAAAGGTGCCTGGTTCTGCTCCTGGAATAAAAGAAGTGGGTGGCAGTGGACCAGGTCAGCTGGGTCGTCGAATCCCTGCATTCCAATAGCCACTTAACCAGCAGCCTGGTTAGGCCAGGCTTCGTGTCTATTCAAGAGGGCATTAGGGGTGGGGGATGGGTTCAAAGCATAAATTCACTCCAAAATTCTTCTTTGGGTCACAGTCCTGAAAGACAACCTCAAATACCATAATCCTGGATGTTGATATCTTAAAAATATTAAGAAAACTCAGAAGATCACACTCCTGAAAAGATAAACATAAGGCAAAAGCCTTTTGAAGATACTTATTTACATTTTCCAAAAGGGGTTTGAGAAACCTTTGAAAACATGACGGAATCCTTCAAGGTTACTTTAGACAATAAAATCAGCAATAATAACACATATTTTTGCAAACATAAGAACTCAGGTATACTTTCATGAATATAGCTATTATAAGCAGGAGAATACAAAGAAATGGGTCCAAAAGTGAAATGTATAAATACCTATCTCTATGGTTGGATATTATATGCATCCACCTTTAGATCTATGGTCATTTAGGTGCTGGGTGTGGTGATACACGCCTTTAGTCCCAGCACTCAGGAGGCAGAGTCAGGTGGATGGTCTGTGAGTTCAAGGCCAGCCTACATAGTGAGTTCCAGCCCAGCTGGGGCTACAGGGAGACCCTGTTTCAAAATGACAAAAAAACAAAACAAAACAAAAAAAAAACCCCAAAAAACCCAAAACAAAAACAGAAAACCCAAAACAAAACAAAAAGAACTATGGTCATATGGTCATTTAAAATACCAAAATGATCAGCCTGGGTCTTTTGGCAACATTAATTAAAATCTACAATAGAACCCACACATGGTGTGCATACCTGTAATCCCAGTCCTGGGAGGCTGAAGCAGGAGGATTGTTTCAGCCTGGGACTTCAAAAGCCTGCCTGGACAACACAGCAAGAATCCATCCCCACATGAACCAGTCAACATCAACTTACCGCCACTGCGTTTGCAACCACTCAAAGAGCCAAGGTTGTGGGAAATTTTCTTTTACGAACTTAGAAACATAGAACAGTATCAGTATCTATTTGTTTACTAGGAATATTTCAGCAATTTTACATCTCCATGTAATACACAAAATGAGGAGTGCAATAATGCACTTTTATGGAGTCGAAAAATGTATAAAATAAATTAGAACTCTGAAAGTCTTTACACAATTATTCTTTCAACATTGAAAATGATGTAAAACTGAAATACAAAACAGAGCATAGAAAATGACAAAATAATCCAAAATATTGAAATAAGTAAAAAAGCACTTTAAAAAAGAAATACAAGCACAAACCACAAACAACAAAAATGCTAATAGAAGCCGGGAGTGGTGGCGCATGCCTTTAATCCCAGCACTCAAGAGGCACAGGCAGGCAGATCTCTGTGAGTTCAAGGCCAGCCTGGTCTACATAGTGAGTTCCAGGACAGCTGGGGGCTACAGGGAGACCCTGTCTCAAAAAGACCAAATAAAAAAAATTACTAATAGATTACATAAATATTCCTTCATATTTACATTGATAGGTTGGCCCAATTATATACTCTAAAAAATCAAAAGGGAGCATATAATTAGCATTTTTGTAGAATCTCCCATTT